AGTGGGGAGGCTGCAACCCCCCACTGCCAGCCAGCTGCAAACCTCCCCTCCCCCCACTGCCGGCAAGCTGCAACCCCCCTCCCCCCAACTCCCGTGGGATGCTCCACTGCTCCACCAGTCTGAGTTCACCAGCCATGCCTGGCCCATAGGGAAGTGGACCCCATATGGAAACAGGCCAGGGTGAATTCCATGTGAACACAGAGCAGGGAAGCAGCTTCTGGCACCGGTATCTTCTCTACCTGCAGCTAGAAGAGCGAGCTGGTGGCTGTGCTGCAGAAAGGATTCTGGGATGAGAAGGACAAGCATAGATAGTGCAGAACAGCAGGGAGGTGATGAGTCCTTGGAGAGCCAAATTCAGGAAGTTTTATTGCCCAGGTTCAAGGAAGAAGAGAACTGGCTACCAAAGGAGTAGACAGAGAGGGATCCAGAAGGGAGGTGTGACAGTTCATAATCAAAAGGACAGGGCAGCTGTATGCAGATGGCTAGACAGGTTGTCAGCATCAGAAAGAGGAGGACCAGGAGCAATTCCACAGAGTTAGAAGTTACCAAGCTCTCATCTTGGAAACTGAGGAAGCTATCTCTGAAACTGCTTGAATGGAAGAGAGAGGCAGCACAGTTCTAGAGTGGCTGGAGCGGCTGCTGCATCTGGCATGCAAGGCAGGGGGCCAGATGAATAATACCACTGGTGTCGGCAACTATTTCTTAACTCCAAAATTGTTCAATTCAGCACAGGAGTCTCTATCTCAAATCTTACCTTGACATGCACAAGCTGATCTCAGAAATAGCCTTGATGTAATAGATTCCTGTAAGATGACTGGTTTGCTACTACATGACATTTTTTAGGAGAATGAGAATAATACAAAATCCACATTAGATGCAGTAAAGGCTGGCTATTTGATAACTCTCAGAATGTAACTGTAATAAAATAATTGTCTAAGTGGACGTGTTTCTAGTGGTGTCCCACAAGGATTGATGCTTGTCCCTATGCGTTTATCATAATTTAAAGTAATCACAAATAAAGTTTGCAGGTGTCACAACGTCTGGGCAAGTGGTAAACAGTGGGGAGGACAGATCACTGCCTCAGAGCAGACTGCATTTTTTAGTAAACTTGGTACAAGTAAACAATATGCATCTTAGGCCAGCTAAATGCAAAGTGTAAAGGATCTCCCTGTGTGATGCTGTGGCCAAAATGCCTAATACATCATTTGATGCACACAGAAGGGATTCTTTTGTTAGAGTAAGCCACTTATTTTATCTCAGTATCTCTCACTGAAGCATACACTGTCAATAAAACAGCCAGTTCTAGTGCCCACAGTTCAAGAAGGATGTTGATAAATTGCAGAGGGTTCAGAGAAGAGCTGGGCTATGGAGGAGTCACCATCACTAGCAATTTTATAATCAAGATGCTTTTCTAAAAGTTCTGCTCTAGTTCAAACAGAACTGAATCACAGGAAAGTAGGGCTGGAAGGGACCTCAGGAAGTCATCTAGTCCAACCCCCTGCTCAAAGCAGAAACATGCCTATCCAAACCATCCTATACAAGTCCTTGTCTAACCTATTCCAAAACCACACAAACAACTCTCTCACACAATTATGAGGAACATTGCCCCAAAACACCAAGAACACCCTAGCCTGACACAGGTAAAGTGGAGGGACAAGGACACTGTCAATGTCCTGCAACTACAAGCATTGTTGAATAAATTCAAAGGACCCAAGGAAGAAGGCCATGCTCCCTGCTACAGAAGATGGCAATCCTTGGCATCCCCATGGCCTGTGTCAGACTGGAGAATCACATTCACCCCTCAGGGCCCCACAGTTTATGACTGCATGAATCCCATCCCCTTTGGTTCTTGCATATTTGCTTTCTGGTCTCTACCACCTGCCTGCCTGTTTAAAGACCCATGGGGACAAAATCCATCACCTGGACGAAGACCCACCCACCCATGTAGGCACCAGCTTATCCAGGCTACATCTAAATGTTTCTGTAATACACAGATTGCCTGGAAGCACTGCTGCTCCTGGGTCTACGCCTGGGGACCTTGCACTCCTCCCCAGACTTCCCTCATCCTGTTACCTTGCAGCAAGCTCTGAAGATTGAGCTGGGCCTCCTGGTGCAGCTCCTCCATGCATGGTGGCCGGCCTGAGGTCAGGAATACATTCACTGGCTGTTGCCATGACAATTTAGAGTGGGCAGTTTTCTTGTTCTCCAGGTCCAAGTTAGAGGTGACTGCAGAGAGAAGAGAAGAGGAGAGGGTGAGAAACAGGCGGCAGCCTCACAGGATCCCCTTGATACCCTTTTCACCCCTGCCAGGGAAGAGCTTGGATATAGGTCCTGAGGCTGAGGGTCCTGATGTGCACACACTGGATACAGCCCCTTCAGCCAAGGGCCAGTGAAGCTGGCAAGTGGGTGAGTATTGTTGGTTGAAAGGAACAGAGGGCAAACCAAAGCAAAGAGGGACAGCAATTGCCCAAGATCATCTGGTATCCTAAGGGGAGGGAGAGCCAGGACCCAGTCCAGGTACCATTTTGGTTGCCTGAATTGAGGGAGGATCTGCCCAGCCTGTAGCCCCACCAGAGCTGACAAGCCTTCCTAGGTTGGGTCCCCAGGGCAGATGCCTTTGGGCTGTCACTGTCTTGGGGTGCTGCTGAAGGGTGCCTTTTGGTGTTCCCCTTCAGCGGGGACAGAGACAGAGATGGAGAGACTTTCCTTATTTCTCTTTTGTGGTTCTTATAATTTAATGATGGTTTGCTGGGGAGAAAAGGGTGTATCTGTGGGTTTGAGTGGGCAGCCACAGCCTGTCAGGGTTTAGGACTGTGAGGGACACCAGTGGGGGATGGAGAGAGCTCCCACATGAGAGATGGGGATCGGGAGTCAGTGGGCACAGGGATGAGGACAGGCTTTCTATACCAAGATGTGAATGGGGGTTGGGAAGCATAGTGGGGAGGGGCTGGAGGGTTTGCTGTCTTGGGTTATAGGCAGGGAAGTGACAATGGGTGAGATGAGGTGGAGTTTTAATGTTCTGGGGGGTGGCCTGGGAGTGCACTGTTGTTTCACATCTTGTGGGGCGATTTTTCGATCATTTTAAAGCCATCCTCAGCCTTCCTGGGTAGGGTGGATTACAGATTGAATTAATACATAAATAAATACAATGTACAGAAAGCATGGCACAGCTGGGAACAATGCCTATTCATCCCTTGCCCTTGCTAGCGTTGTGTGCCTTCCCTCCAGAGGCTCTGTTCCCTGTGTACTGACACACACCTGCACTGCATCCAGGGAGCTAGGCTGGCTGGGACTTAAGAATGTAAGAGATGCCACACTGGGTGAGAGCACAGGTCCATCCAGCCCAGTATCCTTGAATGTACCCCCGCTGCAGCCCCTCTACCACCTACTCAGGAATCTCCTGTGGAGGTTTTTGCTCCTTTATTCTATGCACGTTGCATAAGTAGCTTCACTAAATCCCAGGACTTTCAGGTCAATCTCCTCTTTGCTCTGGCCAAGCTGTCTATCTACCAGACCAGTAAGGAGGTGCTGGCTGAGAGGCACCCTGAGCAACTCTGGAACTGTCTCCCTTTCATTGATCAATCCACACTTCCGGGCAGAGTTCCACTGGGCAGCCTCCACAGGCTCCTTAGGTACCTTCAAGGGGCAGTGAGTGCTAGCTGGAGTTTTCTGCTCAGTGTCCCCACCTTGGAAACCAAGTTATTAAGCTATGATCTGCACTCTGATTCCTGTTTTTTCACCCACTGTTCCAATAATTTAATTATGTGGTTAGTGGTCCCCCTAACCATTGAGGGGAGCTTGTAGTTTCCTGGTGGGTCTAGATCCACCCTGCCTTTAAAGCAAATAGGCCTGTGTCTCAGAGGGACAGAGAAAGGATGTTAAGGAAAGTGTATTTATACAGGCTGACCTGCCCCTCTTCCCCTACAAATTCTGGCATTTAAAAGCCTGGAAGTCCTAATTTGGAGGTTTTATCCAGAACTATAAAGTTTACCACCTACTGGCAGACCTATCTAATCTTCTTTAGAACAGTTAAATTGTTGACTTTTATAACATCTTGTGCCAATGCGTTTCATAAGCTAATTACAAGAGGTGTGAAAAAGAGCTTCCACCTGTTAATGTTACACCTATTTCCTAATAATTCCTTTGCATGTCCTTCAGATCTGATTTTGTGAGAGGTAGTAAATAATAAATCCCTCTTTACTTTCACAAAACCATTCATTATTTTATAAACCTCTCTCATTTCCTCACTCACCAGTCTTTTCTTTAAGCTGAAAAGTCCTGGCCTATGCAGTTTTTCCTTGTATAGCAGCCTCTCCATGCCCCGATTGTAGATGATTGGTGGGGGGGCATATGCCCCTCCTGAGACTGGCCAATGCTGATGCCACCACTGGCTTTTGCAGATGGTCGCTGCTCGCCACCCCTTCCCCCTCACTGCCGGCTTCTGCAGATCGTCGTTGCTCGCCACCCCGCTGCTAACACTGCCCACAAACTGTTCCCCCCCGTCTCAGGAGGCACCAGTCACCCATGCCCCAGATAATCCTTTTTCCCCTTTATCAGCACCTTCCCTCATTCTATTACAACTCTTTGGAGGCTGGGGGGGACCAGAACTGCACACAGTATTCAAGGTGTGGGTGTACTATGGATTTATACAGGGGAATAATGACATTTTCTGTTATGTTTTCAATCTCTTAATGATTTCTAGCATCCTATTTGCCTTTTGAACTGCTGCTAGCACTGGGCTGATGTTTTCAGAGAATTTTCCACAATGACTGCAAGATTTCTTTCTTGAGAAGTAAAAGCTAATGTAGAGCCTATCATTGTGTGTCTGTTCTGGGCACTTCTTGCTCACAGGAATAATTTTGAATTTATCAACACTAGAGACCGGAAAGTTGACTTGGCTCCAGCTGTATTCTCTGGATTCTCTTTGGCAGTTCCTGAGATCAGTGTAACGTGGGGAATGAGAACTGTAGTGGCTGTGTAAGGTATTAGGACTCCTAAGGATGGAATTCTCAGTGCCTCCCTTGCTTATCACACAGAAAGGAGACATGAAGGAAGTGAGGTGATCATACCAGCTAGAATGTGCTGAAAGGCCCCTTTATGGACTTTACCTGAGCAAGAGCGGAGGAAAGAAAGTTCGGTCCCTCTCCCACCTCCAAAAGCCAGGCAACCCCTTGTTCAGATTTTATGCCACACATCCATCAATTTTCTTTTAGGCTTTTCCTGCCTGCTGTTCCATGTATGACCCCTAGATGGCAGTAGATTGCTGCAGACCAGACCTGCCACCCACCACACTTCCATTCACTCAGGGAGGAAGAGGAGACTGGATTGGGACAGCCTCACAGCTCACTGGGTGCTGACAGAAGTGATATCTGTTGCACGATCAGCCCCCTAAAAGCACTCTACAGCTGTGCCGTGACAGAAGTGTAAGGCTGCAGAGTGCTTTGAAAGTGGCCGACCACACGACAAATTAACCCTCATCAAATGAAGGATCAGATGAAGATGCTCCAGCATGGAGCACCTTAGGGAATTTCTGTTCCTTAGGGTCAGTTTATCAGTGCAACTGGGGCTAGGCTGATGCAGCCCAGTCCTGTGCCTAATGCTGTCTGCAGGAAGGGAGTGGGGAGAAGGGAGGGGGAGGGAACTTCAGGCTGGGGTTTGCCCAGCCTGAGCCAGAGGGGAGGTGGATGGATTGAAGCATGCCCACCTCATAGCCCCCACTACTGCCCTCTTTCAGTTCAAGCCAGGCAAACCCCAGCCTGCAGCTCCCCTCCCCTCTCCCTTCCTGCAGACAGCACTGGAGCTGGGCCTGGGGGATGGGGCTGCATCAGCCCAGCCCCAATCTCAGGGCAGACAGACAGGCTCAATTCCCCTCTCCCCACCCAACCTGACAGGCAAATGAACTGCCAGGGGACCAGGGCTGCCTGTCATCTCAGTCATGCCAAGCACCCCTGGAACAGCTGTGTTTCCAGCCAGACCCTTCCTGGGTCCCAGGACCCAGGAAGAGAGTAAACAAGGAAAGCAGGAGAGCATGAGGCTGGGCAGCCACCAGGTGGTGGTAGCTGCTGGCACCTGAAGGGGGCACGTAGCAGCCAAGCCTGAATCACCTCACCACCAGGTATACATCTGGGGCAGTAGTGTAACTAGGGGGTGACTGGGACACCAGTCCTAGCACCACCTTTGGGGAAGAAATGCACAGCAAAAATAGCTACTGCCACCAATGCCAGTGCAGCAGTCAGTGCTGTCATGCTATGCCTCTGAGTCTGGAGCATGAGAGTGCAGTCCATGCCTGAGGAGAGGGACTACAGGGAGCAAGGGCAGCAGTGTGCTGCCTCGGCAGGGGGTGTATGAGTGGCAAGACTGCCCGAGCTCTGCTCTGGAGTTGCTGGCATGTTTTAGGTGGCTGGGCCAAATGACACTGTGAGTCAGAAGACCAGGGGACTATTCCTGTTCTGCCACTGGCATATCAGGTAACCATGAATCAGTCTTTTCCTCTCTCAGCCTTAGTTTCACCCTCTCTACAAAGTGGGTGATGATCATGATCCCTCTGTAAAGTGCTGAGGGATCAGGGAGGGGCAGTGCTGAAAGCTGTTATCTGTAACACTGTCAGGTCCTGAAACATGGACCAAATGTCTAGAAAAACCAATGAGATCAAGGTCACTATATTAAAAATAATGCATTTTCCACCCTCCTGCCTCAGAGAAGGCTAAACTGCGGCAATCCAAGGTGGCAGTAGAAGGCATCTACAGTATGCTAAGTGATAGGGTCAAAGGAAGGCTGACTTATGCCATGACTCAAGTGACAGGGCATCCCCAGCTGCTTTCCAATGTAATGCAACAGACTGAGAACACAATAAAAATACGGCATAAAACAGGGGCGGGAAAAATATGGCCTGCAGGCTAGATCTGGCCGACCAGGCCATTCTATGTGGCTCATGGGGTGCCTAAAAAATTTAGGAAATTACTATTTATTTGCTTCTGGCTGCCTGTCAAAGATAACATGACCCAGGAGCAGTAGGACCCAGGGGGAGCTGGCAGGACTGAGCAGCCCAGTCCCGTCCCACCCCCAGCCATTTCCCTGCCTTTGTCCCCTGCACTGCTCCAGCAATACATGGCCCAGGGGCTGCATTGCTGGACTGGGGAGCACGGGCCATGCTGGCACCTGGGGCCAGGAGCAGGAGGGGTGTGTCTGTAGGCAGGGGCAGAAGGGGGGTGTGTGTGTTTGTAGGG